TCTTTGCTCCATGAGCACAACCCTCGTCCGTCACACAGGTAATGAGAAAAGCAGAAAGAGGGGGTCCTGTGTAGAGGACATGGGGCGAGTCATTCTCAGCCACACCTGCTTCATAAGCCTATGAAATAAATGTCTCACATTCAGAGCAAACAAAAAAAAACAAAACAAACAAAAACACTGAGGCAGCCAAGACAGCAGGGTTTCTGGGTGAAGCCATGTTACGTAATTACCTCGTAAAGCATTAGATGTCACTCACCAAACCTCATTAGCTGGTTTATTAGTTCATGTCAGCATTTTGACCGAAAATATTTTAGTCAATCCGAATCTGTGCGCTGTTAAATTATTTCTCAGTTTAGAAAAGATCCTCAAGTGCAGCTTTAAGCTCCTTCCTGAACCCAGGCATGTGTGCGTGTGCGTGTGCGTGTGTGTGTGTGTGTGTGTGTGCGCGCGTGTGTGTGTGTGTGTGTGTGTCCTCACCTCTGATTCGGAGTCGTCGTGAGAGAGCGCTCGTCTGTAGCGCACCTTGCTGCTACCTCGTGAATCGTCCCCAACCTCTCTCTCCTCCAGCTTGGCTTTTGTCCTGCCTTTCTTCATCAGGAAGTTATCGACGACCCAAAACATCAGTGCCTGTCCACACGCACAAAAAACGTATAACTGCTGCTAACTCAAAAGATCTCAATGTCTCAGTAAGCAAACGGACGTTCTACTTACATTAACGAAGAACGGCACGATTAGCATAACGAGAGCCAGCTCCAGCTGGGGGTTTGTGATGGGGTTCAGCATAGCCAGCTGTGCACCGCATACATCCAGGCAAAAAAACAAGACGTAAGAGAATGTTCGGAATAAAGTCTGAGACACTCGTTTCATCCCATTCATGTTTTTCACATTTTACTCGCTCTTGTCTAATTGGAAGATGCGTGTAAAAATCCTCCTGTAATTATAAGCTGTTAAAGTCTCCCAAAATGCTGATTCATTTTCTATAACCGCGGCTCTGACGGTAGTGCCGGCTGCAAGATTTATATTAATGCACTCATTTTAATTATCTCTAATTTCTATAGTATACATACACAAGGAGTTTGATGGCAAATGCTCCACATAAACAGATTTTGTTTTATAAAATGCATGCAATCATGGATATGATGAGGTTTTCTGTGAGATGTTGTTTATTTAACATTTATGGAAGGACTCTCCAGTGTCAGCGCTTTATACCTTTAAGCGTTCGTGTATTTGCAGTTTCCCAGTCTTATAAACTTCAAGAGAAAGAA